TTTTTAAACAGCAAGTCAGATAAACATTTGCATTTACATTTCATACATCGTTAATAGGCCCAAGCCAAGGAACTTGTCAAAACACAGCATTTCTGCCATACAAAAAATGCAACTACTGTGATGATGATGATGATAATAAACAATTGTTTCAAAGAAGAATGGATGAAAGAAACTGCATGAAATGAGACGCAAAGTAACATTGTTCCGAAAGTTGATGTGGCTTTGTCACAAATTGACTAGAACAAACATAATGTGAACTTAAAACACATTTTTAAATCTGACTTGCACCTGAGGGAAAATTAATTTAATAATTTTCATGCAGCTTATGAGATTTTATTTATTTCTCATTTTATTCTTAAAATTCATATGCAAATTCTATAGACCTACATACGCAGCTTACATTACAGTAAATACTTGATGGTTCTTGAGACATAAACATCTTTTGAATGTCATTCACTTCATTAGCTATGTTTTAATAATTAAACAACCATTAGGAGAAACAGACAAAAAGGGTCAGGCTGTGTTACCATACGAGGCATATTCGTAAGTAAGTACCATTTGGACATACCTCCCGCGCTTCATCGAAATGATCCGTTTGATTCGTCACAGACACCATTTCGTGAGAGTAGTGTCTGTTAACATTTTTCCGTGTGCGTTAAACATGTTCAAGAAAATTAAACGTCCCTCTGGCTGTGAAATAAGGTCCGTTATTCGTTTTCTTAATGTTAGGAATGTGCGGCCGGTTGATATTCATCGCCAGATTAGTGAAGTTTATGGAGAAAATGCAATGAGTGATGGTATGGTTAGGAAATGGGTTCACAAGTTCAATGAAGGACGTTAAAACGATCATGATGAGGCGCGAAGTGGCGACCATCTATGGTGAATGACAACTTGGTGCGTAAGGTCGACGAAAAAGTTTGTGAGGAGAGACGGTTCACAATTTCTGATCTCTTCTTGAAATATCAAGGACTGCTCTTTATGAAATTGTCACAGAACGCTTGCATTATCAAAAATGGTGTTCGCGTTGGGTGCCCAAAATGCTCACGGAGCAGCACAAAAACGCTGTTCTGCAAGTGCTTTGACATTTTTGATTGTTATCATGAGGAGGGAGATGAAATGTTGTACCATATTGTGACGGCAGATGAGACTTGGGTCTCCCATATCACACCTGAATCAAAACAGCAGTCCATGCATTGGAAGCATACAGCGTCTCCAAAATCCCAAAAGTTTAAGCAGACAATTTCAACCAGAAAAATCATGTGCACCGTATTCTGGGACAGGAAGGGTGTTCTACTGGTGGAATTCATGCTACCAGGCACAACAACCAACTCTGTTTACTGCGAAACTTTGAAGAAGCTGAGGCATGCAATTCAGAATAAAAGGCGCGGGATGCTGAGTGCTGGCATTCTTTTGCTTCACGACAACGCTCGACCGGACGCTGCTGCTCAGACTAAAAACCATATCACGTCATTTGGATGGGAACAAATGGATCAACCCCTGTAAAGCCCCAACTTGGCGCCAAGCGACTTTCACCTCTTCCTACACTTTAAGAAATTCCTGGCCGGTCAACATTTTTTTGACGACGACGAAGTGAAAGAGGCAGTGCAGCAGTGGCTACCATCGCAGGCGGCCGCGTTCTACGAGGAGGGTATACAAAATCTTGTGCCCTGCTATGATAAGTGCCTCAATAATGGCGGCACCTATGTCGAAAAGTAGCCTAAGAAAAATAGAATCTGATGAAAATAATTTTTTTAAAAAATATATTTTATTTTTTATTAATTCCCAAACGGTACTTACTTTCCGAATACGAAACGTGAATGATTAAGGGTTAGAGTTTCAATTATAATTCTGGTTACAAAGCCTGAAAATATTTCACAATACGAAACATTATACCAAGATGTTTGCTGAAGAAATATATTAGATTTCATTTTTTAAATAAGCAAGTCAGATGAACATTTTGCATCATAATGCATGCACTGAAACCCAGCTACAGACACAGTCTACACAACCGCACCAGAGAGCGTCTAGAAACCTCCCCATTCACCTGAAATATAAGTCCATTTCATTATGAAAACATATGAAACAGTAATTCCATGCCATTGCCCTTCCTAATTTCTTCACTGCATACATTTTATTAGTACAAAATGCTTTGGATGAGTAAATAAATTTGAAAATCTTTCTTTTCCTTTTATTTTTCATATTATTTTCTATCCTTACATTCACACTAAGATTCAGAACCTGAAAGATTATTAGTGTAATTTTCTGTAATCTGTTCATATCCAAAGAAGCCATGGCTGCAACATAATGACACGCCTAAAAGTCAGTACAACTTGAAAAACTGAGCTATATCTTGTGATATCTTACAGCAAAAATTATATTTAATGCAAGAATGATCCTCTACAAAATGTCAAAAAGACTGCTGCATAAACACACGATTCTCAAGGCTGTAAAGTTTAAACTTGCAATAAAGCAAGTTCTATTATGGAAAAAAT